CCTGGGGTTGTGTTCGAGGCTTCTGGGGGGTATCCTGGAGCCGAGGGGCCGAAATGTCGGGTCGGATCCTGTCGTGGAGCCTTTCTTGGAGCCGTCTTGAGGGTCTCCGGGGCCGTCTTGGGAGTCTCTTGCACCGTCTTGGGCCGTCTTGGGGCCGTGTGGGGCGTCTTGGAGGCCTGTTGGGCCGTCTTGTGACGAACTGGGGCGTCTTAGAGCGACCCGTGGGCGTCTTGGAAGGCTTCTGGGGCCAGTCGGACCAGCTTGGCGGTAATTTCAAGCATTCTCGGGTTTGTCTTGAGCCCGTCCGGGGGGGTGGCGAATTAGGTGACGCCCATCGGGGGGGGTCCCCTTATCATTTGCTAGGGTAAAAAAATATTCCTATCCATACATTTAAGGAAGAAAAAAAAACCGGGGACGCCAGAAAAAGCGCACCCCATCTCCCCCATAGCGAATTTATCCCGCCCCCGGCCTCAAGGCAGCCCTTCAGACGACCCGGGAGAACCTCACGAGAGCCCGAAGCCGGCCCCAGACGGGTTCCAGGCGTTCCGGCGCGCTTCCGAAACGGCCCCAGAGAGGCCCAATACGGTCCACGACGACCCCCAAGAAGCCGTCACACCCCCAAAAGATCGCTCCAAAACGTCCCAAGAGGCCTCCAAGAGCACTCCCAAGAAGGCCCCAAGAGGCACAAATCAAAGATTTTCGGTTGGTTTTTGGTGAATTGTGGGGTTCTCCTCTTTTCGGCTTCGCGACGCTCCAAGACGGCGGTCTTCTGGGCGTCCGAAGCCGCCCGGGAGGCTCCCAAATCGCCACAGAACCGATAGGGCTTCCAAGCAGTCCAAGAGAGCCCCGAAACGGCACAACAGGGGTCCAAGATGGCCCTAAGAGAGCCCCATGGCGGCCCAAGATGCCCCCAAGACGCCCTCCGAAGCATTCCAAATCGTGACCCGGTCGTTCATGGAGACCGCGGTTGGAGGCAGGGTGGCCCGATGAAGCCCCCAGAGGCCCCCAGAACACGCCAAGGATGCCTCCAGAAGGCCTTGAGAAAGCCTGAAAAACTGGTCTGAGGCCCCCAGAGGCTCTCCAAGGAGGAGCACCCGCACAAAGAGCTGAGGAGGATGGGGAGAATGCGCAGGGTATGGCGAGAATGAATAAAAAGAAGCATGGAGGAATGATAACGAATAACATTATTCTAACGGCGACGCTGGAAAAGGCAACAAGGAGTTGTCGCAAATTTGTCGGCTCGTCTTTCCTGCCATTCCGCCTGTATACCAAACGTCAAAGACCAAGGTACATGGCGCGAAGCAGCACTGCGGTCTTGCGTGCATATGTGTATATATGCATACATACATACATACATACATACATACATACATGCATGCATACATACATACATACATACACCTATACATACACCTATACATAAATAACTACATCCATACATACATACATACATACATACAGACAGACAGACAGACAGACAGACGAACATACATACATACACACATACATACATGCATACATACATACAAACACACCTACATGCATACCTACATACACTGCATACATGCACACATACATACATATCGGCATACATACATCCATACATACATACATACATACATACATACATACATGCATACATGCATACATACATACATGCATACATACAACCATGCATACACATACACATACATGCATACATACATACACACATACATACAAGCATGCATGCATGCATGCATCTATACATACATACATACATACATACATACATACATACAGACAGACAGACAGACAGACAGACAGACAGACAGACAGACATACATACCTATATATATATACACATACATACATACATACATGTGTATAATGGTATACTTAAAAACACGATATTTGTATAGGGCCGGGGACGGCGGAAAAGCCCACACGCACCCCCCCTAACGAACTTGGCCCTCCCTGGGTCTCCAGGCAACCCTTCAGGCGCCCTGGGAGAACCTCACGAGAGCCCGAAGCCGGCCCCAGACGGGTTCCAGGCGTTCCGGCGCGCTTCCGAAACGGCCCCAGAGAGCCCCAATACGGTCCACGACGACCCCCAAGAAGCCGTCATACCCCCAAAAGATCGCTCCAAAACGTCCCAAGAGGCCTCCAAGAGCACTCCCAAGAAGGCCCCAAGAGGCACAAATCATAGATTTTCGGTTGGTTTTTGGTGAATTGTGGGGTTCTCCTCTTTTCGGCTTCGCGACGCTCCAAGACGGCGGTCTTCTGGGCGTCCGAAACCGCCCGGGAGGCTCCAAAATCGCCACAAAACCGATAGGGCTTCCAGGCAGTCCAAGAGAGCCCCGAAACGGCACAGCAGGAGTTCAAGATGGCCGTAGGAGAGCCCATGGCGGCCCAAAATGACCCCAAGATACCCTCTGAAGCATTCCAAATCGTGACCCGGTCGTTCAGGGAGACCGCGGTTGGAGACAGGGTGGCCCGATGAAGACCCCAGAGGCCCCCAGAACACGCCCAAGAGGGCTCCAAAAAGCCTTCAGAAAACCTGACAAACTTGTGTGATGCTCCCAGAGGCCCTCCAATGAGGAGCCCCCGCAAAAAGAACTGAAGAGGATGGGGAAGGATACGCATGGTAGGGCAAGAAACAAGAAACAAAGAAAGGAAACATGGAAGAAGGATAACGAATTACCCTGTTACAACTGCGATGTCGAAACATGCAACAATGTGTTATCGATAGATTGTCTGTTCGATTTTCTTGCCATTCCACTTGCTAGCCAAACTTCGATGATCAAGGTACATGGCGCGAAGCAGCACTGTGGTCTTGCGTATGTGTAGATGTGTGCATATGTTTATATGTATATATATAAGCATATATGTGTATATATATGTATATGTAGACACACATGCATACATATATATATATATAGTTATATATACACATGTACATACACGTTGACATACACATATACACATTCACATACATATACACATACAAAAATGCATATGTATATACATATACATATACATATACGCATAACTACATACATGTGTATGTATGCATCTACTGCACGCGCGCGCGTCGTCGCGCGCGCATGCCGAAATCCTTCCAAAACCTTGGACGTCGTAGACATTTCAACAACGAGTGCCCCGCAGACATATGAAAACCCGCGGTTTTGAAACATCCATGTTCGAAAAGCCTGCGCTCGCGGTCTTGCGGGTTCTTGGAATTCTGAGCAAAGGGCCCCTCGCGCCGCATGTCGAATTCATTAGAACGCCCTTGCGCGCGTGTTTGGGGGAGAACACGTCACGCTCCGTGTCAAAGAAGTCCACGCGGGCCACTCGCGCGCGTCGGCCGCTCGCGCATGTCGAACTCCTTTAAAACCCTTCATCGCCGACGCGAGGACATCGTCATCGTTATCGGCGGGCGTGATCAACATCGGCGCCGTCATTAGCCTTGCCGCCGTCATCGCCACCATCGCCACAATCATCGCTACTCTTATGGTCGTGTCTACCTTTTTTCGGCGTCGCCATGATACCGCGCCCGCCTAATCAATTCACCGACTCGCACTGAAGCGCCCGCTGGGAAGTGCTGCCCAACGGTCAGCGCCACCGCGGCCGCGTCGGTCGCGCCAAACTAGCTGGCCGCTGTGCGCGCGAGCATGCGCGGGCTAGCGCGGCCGCAGTGATGCACCAGCCAACGCCAAGAACTCATCACAATCGCCGCCACTTGGGCTTTGCAACCAAATTGCGGGTGGGTGGGTGGGATGTTTGCAAGGGCGTGGAAAGGGTCCACATCAATTGCACCACGTATTTAGATTGCACCGCGTATTTTCTCTTCTCTAAACAATAATTTCTCCCCCCCGTATTATCGGTACCGTTTGTTTTCGTATCGGAATTTACATACGATTCTGCCCATCGTCCATCCCAAATATGGACTCATACCACATGAACTCATAGCATCCCAGGGGAACCGGTATCGCCCCCCCCCCCCCCACGCCACACTTTGCAACAAAATACTATGCGCGCACACTCGTTCATCACGAATCATCCCTTGCAAGAAAATAGACGAATTGCACACGCGCGCGTCGTCGCGAGCACATGCTGAAATCATTCAGGAAACCTTCTATCTTGCAACAGATAGCCTGCACGACAAAGAGTGCACCATATTGATCGCACCACACATATTGCTTCATAAAGGTTGCCCAACATGTCTTGCAACATATCGATTGCACAGCAAATCTTGCACGACAGAGCTTGCATAACATAGGCGGCATACCATAGATCGCGCCGCATAGGGTGCACCACATAGATTGCGCCGCATGCGTTGCACCACAGCAGTTACACCGCACATGCTGCACCACATAGATTGCACCTCATAGTTCGCCAGAAACAAACTATTTTGGGTCCGCGCTGGCTAACATAGAAAAACAACAAATCAGACCCATCCAGTGTAAAACAAGCAGAAAGGGGCGGGATGGAAGCGGAAGGGGGGTAACACAACAGAGGCGGAGGCAAGGGGAGGGTATGATTGAGGGCGGAGACGAGAGAGGCAAACTCAGTGCGCTCGCGCGACGCCTGGTGTCCCTCCTATCCGCCCGCCCCTTCCCACTGACTTGGGGCCCTCTGCGCTCGCTGGGGTTAGGAAGGAGCAGCATTAGCAATATAAGCCTTCGGAGGCCCTGCGCCGACACAAGAGATCTGCGCGGAGCTCTGAACATAGTATGCTGATGTTGCACATCTGCCTGACTCGATTCGCTGATACTTCCCCGCGGCGAAGCGAATGACCTGCTCCTCGTCCTCCTCGTCCTCCTCAGCATCCTTCTCACCCTCCTCCTCCTCCACCTACCTCCTTCTCATCCTTCTGCTCCTCCTGCCACTCCCCTCCATCTTCCTCCTTGCTCATCCTGCTTCTCCTCCTCATCATCCTCGTGCTGATGTTTTTGCTGCCTTCACTCTTCGTACCTCCTTTCACTCCCCCAAACCCTGCTCTCCGTCATCATTGGCACCTCGTGGTTCGTTACGGTGAGGCGCGGCACCCTGTCCAGTGGGGCGATCTCCAGATCCTTCCCCGGCCAGCACTTACCTGCTCCCTCCTCCTCCTCCTCCTTCTCAGCATGGTTCCTCACCCCTCCTCGTCATCCTCGGTCCCCAATCCTCCTCCTCGTCAGTATTCACCCTCCTCCTCAATCCTCCTCTCTCTCTCCTCCTTCATCTCCATCTCCATCTCCTCCTCCTCCTCCTCCTCCTCCTCCTCCTCCTCCTCTTCGTCCTCCTCTTCCACGTCCCCTCAGGCTTCAGGGAATCCGCGGCCAAAGAAAGGCCTGCCATGGTGAAGTCGGTGGCCACCTACGGTGTCCTGGCTGAGTTTTCCTTGAACGAGGCATCGGGGAAACATGCTTGAGAGAATTGCGAGCTTACTCCGTCCCTTGGGTGAGATGGTTTGGGTGGGATTCCCTTGCTGGCTGGTCGCGTCAAGGGAGGCGCGAACTCGGTAGAGTAGGGAGCGCGCCAAGACCCAACAATGCAAACGAGACGTTCCACATCCAACGCGTCAACCGAAATGCGTCGAGCATGAAGATGAGAGCGGCGCGGTTCCACTTTGGGCGAACCTTCCGCCTCGAGGCGTTGTTCAACACCATCCCGAGCTCAAACACCGTGCAATCGTCGCACAGAACAGACGGCACCGCAACATACATTGCACTGCAACTGGGCTTGCGCTGAGCTGGATAAGGGAGGGGGAAAGGGAAAAGGGGATAACGGATGTGAAGGTCCAAACTAATTCAGACTGCCCGCCCTTTGGAAGCTCGCGCGCCTGTCAGACGAGTCGCTGCTCTTACCGCGATGCTAAGCCATACTGCCACCTCAAGATGCCTCGCCTTTGAGCATCTCAATCTCGCTCTTCAGGCTCTTGATGTGACGATCCGCGCCCGCGGCTGCTTTCTCAACGCCCGTCAAAAACATTACATTGTAATGCTTGAACTTGGCGGTCTCCCTCTTGAGCGCCTCGCCCTCTGACTCCTCTGCCTCTGCTGCATTATAGCCGCCCTCGTCGCCTGGGCGGCGGCCCATCGTAATGAACGCGCAGTTGCCGTTCTCTGCTCTGTCGCAAGAGGCTGAGTTCTCCTTCCTTTCATTCTGCCCTGCGGGCCTGTACTGGCAGCAGCAGAAGCAAATTACTTTAGAAACGCCGTTGCCCAAATCATGACTCGCCTGCTCGCGCGACGCCAAAACGTGGTGTTCTGAACCGAATGGGAATTCACGGTTGCTCGGGCAGCTCGCCGGCGAAGGACAAGCCATCAAAAGGGCGCCAACGATGTACAAGGAAGGGCGCATACAAAGACACGAGCTTCTTTGTAGCGACACTGTTAGGCCTGCAGGAGCGAGACATGCTCCAGCACGTCCATTGCCTCGCCCACGTCCTTGTGCCAGGGTTGATATGTTTCTTTTATATTGCTGCACTTTGGATACGTCAGCAGGCGAGGTCGGCTTTGTTTTTGAAATTCTCAAAGTCGGCATTGAAGAACTTAGTATCGAAACTAGTTTTGCCGACGGAGTCGATGCATGTATTGCCCTGATTGAAGCCGCGGTTTGTCTTGTCATCCTTGATGAGCTGGCGCTGCTTGGAGTAGTTTGGGCCGCGGCATGTCGCCGCGATGGCTCCGGCCACCTTCTGAGCCTCGGCTGCGAACGTCTGCATTTCCTCTTCGCTCATGTCGTTGGCGCCCACGAGGGCCATGGCTGGCTCGAGATGTTCCAGTTCTGCTGGGAGCACATTCGCAGATTATCCGTCACCTCCTTCGTCCTCGTCTCCACTTCCTTCATCCTCGTCGTCCTCTCCATCCTCTGAGTGTGCTCCAATGGCTGCGTTGCACCGAACCTTACGTCCACCATCTCGTCGCTGATGTTGCGAGCTCGAGCATCCACGCTGTCGAACTGCATCTCCAACGCTTCGCATGCATATCGCGCCCCAGCCGCATTATGAACCTGGCCCGAGAAAGACATGTTCTGTGACTCTACTAGTCTTCACATGGCCAGCGTGAAGAATGCCATCACATTTTCCGAAACTTGAACCTTGCCGCCCGTCAGGGCTCGCAGCTTCTCGCGTGCTTGGGCCCTGCGCGGCGTGACGTCCTTGATGGGATCGTCTGGTCGCCGTTTTCCACGTCTGAAGTAGTCCACGGATGTTCGGTGCTTTCGGCAGCGGGGCCACATTCTCGCAGTGTGACCTCGCGCGCTTGATGAGTGCATCGCGTGTTTCCCCAACACGTGTTCCAAACCCTCCTTGGTTGGGCACTCGTTCTGAATAGGGCACTGCTCGCGCGTCATTCTCCTCCTCCCACCTCCCGCCCCCTGTCTCCCGCGAGACCTCGCCGTCTCTGGGGGGGGGGGGCTGGGTGCTGCGATCTGCGAAACTGATCCCACTTTCGAGGGCTGCTGGCGGATCCAGCGAAGCGACGCACCGAGCAGACCCGAGGTCGACCTCGCCGTCCCTGGGGGGCCGCGATCTGCGAAGCCGTCGCCACTCTCGATGGCTGCTGGTGGGTCCAGCGGAGCGAGGCACCGCGCCGACCCGAGGTAGACCTCGCCGTCCAAGGGGGGCTGCGATCTGCGAAACTGTCGCCATTTTCGAGGGCTGCTGGTGGGTCCAGCGGAGTGAGGCACCGCGCAGACCTGAGGTCGGCCTCGCCGTCCCTGGGGGGCTGCGATCTGCGACGCTGTCGCCAGTCTCGGGGGGTGCTGGTGGGTCCAGCGGAGTAAGGCACCGCGCAGACCTGAGGCAGGCCTCGCCGCCCCTGGGGAGGGGGGGGCTGCGATCTGCGAAACTGCAGCCACTTTCGAGGTCTGCTGGTGGGCCCAGCGGAGTGAGGCACCGCGCAGACCTGAGGTAGACCTCGCCGCCCCTGGGGGGCTGCGATCTGCGGAACTGTCGCCACTCTCGGGGGCTGCTGGCGAGTCCAGCGGAGTAAGGCACCGCGCAGACCTGAGGCAAGCCTCGCCGCCCCTGGGGGGGGCTGCGATCTGCGAAACTGCAGCCACTTTCGAAGGCTGCTGGTGGGTCCAGCGGAGTGAGGCACCGCGCAAACCTGAGGTCGACCTCGCCGCCCCTGGGGGGCTGCGACCTGCGACGCTGTCGCCACTCTCGGGGGCTGCTGGCGAGTCCAGCGGAGTAAGGCACCGCGCAGACCTGAGGCAAGCCTCGCCGCCCCTGGGGGGGGCTGCGATCTGCGAAACTGCAGCCACTTTCGAAGGCTGCTGGTGGGTCCAGCGGAGTGAGGCACCGCGCAAACCTGAGGTCGACCTCGCCGCCCCTGGGGGGCTGCGACCTGCGACGCTGTCGCCACTCTCGGGGGCTGCTGGCGAGTCCAGCGGAGTAAGGCACCGCGCAGACCTGAGGCAAGCCTCGCCGCCCCTGGGGGGGGCTGCGATCTGCGAAACTGCAGCCACTTTCGAAGGCTGCTGGTGGGTCCAGCGGAGTGAGGCACCGCGCAGACCTGAGGTCGACCTCGCCGCCCCTGGGGGGCTGCGACCTGCGACGCTGTCGCCACTCTCGGGGGCTGCTGGTGGGTCCAGCGGAATGACGCACCGCGCAGATCCGAGGTCGACCTCGCCGTCCCTGGGGGGCTGCGATTTGCGAAACTGATCCCGCTTTCGAACACTGCTGGTGGGTCCAGCGGAGTAAGGCACCGCGCAGACCTGAGGCAGGCCTCGCCGCCCCCGGGGGGCTGCGATCTGCGGAACTGTCGCCACTTCCCAGGGCTGCTGGCGGGCCCAGCGGAGTGAGGCACCGCGCAGACCCGAGGTCGACCTCGCCGTCCCTGGGGGGCTGCGATCTGCGAACATCTGCGAACTGCTGGTGGGTCTAGCGGAGTGACAAAGCCGCGCATATCTGACGTAGACCTCGCCGTTCCTGGGGGGGTGCGATCTGCGACCTTGGGGTTCTGCGATTTGCGACGCTGTCGCCACTTTCGAGGGCTGCTGGTGGGTCCAGCGGAGTGCGGCACCGCGCATGCGTCGTCGCGTGGGAATGTTGGTTCGAGGGCGCCATGCCATGTCGTTGCTGCCCCGCCGACGTTTCAAGCCCGTTGCCCGCCTTCTTCGTTTGGACCTTGCCTTAGTGACCCAAGGGTTTATTAGATACTCATCTCTACCACGCTGTTTCCCTTGATCGGGGGGCGGCGAACCTCCCGGATGCCGCTCGCAGAAATCTATGCGCCCATGTCACGTCGTCGCCCTCTCACCAAATATCCCAAGCTACTCCTGCCTTGCACTGCGCAGGGGTCGCGTACGTCGCCAGGGTAATCTTCCCATTGCTGGAAATGTTTGGCGAGTATCGAAACACGTACCTTCTCGTCTTTGTGGCATAGTGCCTGCGCCCGATCTGTCAAACTTCTTTTGACTTTGGCGGCGAGACCCTTTCTTTCCGGGTGTCTATGCACCCAGGAAGCCAAGCCGAACTCTTGATTCCCATAAATATGTTGCTGCTGCGTTTCCGTCGTATATAACATGGTGCGCCGCCCTAGTCGAGCCATACGTGAACTTCACCTCGCTTGCCCTTGTTGCACGGCATGATGAACTGGTGGGGGTGGATGACGCTGCCGGTGGTATTCAACCCGCAGTGGTAGCCCGAGAACCTGTTCGCAGTGAAGTGTGGAGTGCCTGACCGCGAAGAACAGGCCTCAATATGGAAGGTTAAGAGGTTGAGCCGATACATCCACATAGGCCGTCGCGAATCTCACAGCTCCGCACTACCAGTGTCAATACTGCTGCGTTGAGCATGTCTTCTGTGCAGCTGCAAGATCAGCTTAAACGATCAATCTTGAATGAACCTAAGCTGCCCCGCACAAAACGCCACGTATAGAATCAGTGGAACCCCAGGTCTTGCTCTGGCGCACGTCTGAACCGCCGATGGGCTGATGGCTCAAAAGGAGACCCCCGGAATCGTTTGAGAGCAAACAGCGTCGGCAGGTGTAACGTGTGATGCCACAAACGCATCTTCACTAACCTCACCAGGGATACAGGTTTGAAACACACAATTCCTGCGTTTCTCGCTGTGCCTTCTGCAGGGTCATCTTCACACAAGAGGCCCCAAGAGGTCTTTTTTTCATCCCCCAAGCCCCCAGCGGATCCCGCCACGGGACTCGTTCGCCGCAGACGGCGGCATGCCTCAGGCCTGGATGGCCTGACCCAGCTGGTTGCCCTCCAGCTCGGACGCCACCGCGTTCTCCATGCTCACATAGTTGAACGCCCCCTTCGGCCGCTTCTGGAGCAGCTCCTCAAGCCCCTCGCCGCACAGGCAGGACGGCGCCCTGCTCCAGCGGCTTGCCGTTCTGCGGAAGAGGCCCCGAGAGGTCTCCACGAGGCTCCCAAGAAGCCCCCCCAAGGGGCCCCGAAGCCGCCCGGAACCAAAAAAAAACCCAACATGCTCTCAGGAGCCCTCCCTCCAAGAGGCCCAACGCGGGGGGTCGGCGGCATGGCGCACGCCACTTGAATTCGCCGGCCCAACGGGCCAGAGGCGTGCTAAGATCTCCGGTAACTGGTAAACAGTATTTCTGGTTTGCGCGCGCGGGGCGGCCCCCTGGGGGTCCCTGGATCAAAAGTGCCCCGAGAGGAGCCCGGGACACGCCCGGGACACGCCCGGGACACTCCCCCAGATCCTCCAGGATCGCCCCAAGAGGGCCCCAAGAGGCCCCCAACACAATCCAAGAGAGGTCCGAGACGCCCGAAGATCGCTCCACGACGCCCAAGATGGCCTCCAGACGGCCCAAGAGGTCTCCAAGATGACCCAACAAGCCTCCAAGATGCCCCAAGAGGCCTCCAGGAGCACTCCCAAGAGGGCCCCAAGAGGCAAAAATCAATGTTTTTATGTTTTTTTCTTAGGTTTTGGGCAGATTTGGGCGTTTCAACCTTTTCGGTTCCCCGACGCCCCTAAACGGCTCAAGAGGCCTCCAAGATCACCCCAAGAAGGCCCAAGAGGCCCCCAAGAGCCCCCTAAGAGGCCCCAGGGGAGCCCAAGACGCCGCCCAGGAGCCCCAAAACGCTCCCAAGAAGCCCCCAAGAGGCCCCCAAGACGGCCCCGAGAGGCCCCAAATAGCGCTCCAGGGCCGGCCAGCGGAATGAGCGAAGCGATTAAATAAACGCTTGTTCTGGAGGTCAGGGTGGTTGTTCATCCTAGGCCTACGGCAAAGCGTGACTTTGAAGAACTATTTGGACGAATGTCGCCACATTGAACGATAATACAAACATGGCGCACATGTGCCACGACTACCCAGTCAAACAAACCGCCTGTGTCCCTGTCCGTCTCAGGTCCTGATAACTACCGATGCTGTCTACAGGTCAGCCAACTCTTGCCCTGACATTGTACAGACGCTGCTCTGCCAGCCCCGACTCACCCTTTCCAGGGTAGCAATGGTGTCACGTCCAATTCACACAGCACTTCCCCTGCCCGCCCGCCCTGCAAGCAGGCTCTGATGCGCGCCGCCACATGTCCTGGGCCGAAGCACATAAGAGGAAATGGCACTGCCAAGGGCCTCTACACAACGAGTTCTAAGACCATTGCAGGGCACTGCGCTATGGCGGGCAACCGAACCGAACAGTGTAGCACGTTGCGCACAGCCACATGTCCTGGAGCGGAACTCGTGGCAGGAACTGACACACGGCTACGAGACTCTACACACCGAGCTCCAAAACCATTGCGCGGCAGCGCGATGCGACGAGCAACCGAGCCAGACAGTAGAAATGGAGCACGGTACGCGGCACCAAAGAGGCACACAATACACTGGCCCCGCACAGCTCCTGGCCACCATCTTGGGCCTCGGGGCATCACGCATTATCTCAAGACTGCACCACCTTGCACAGCACCGTGCGGCACCTGGCCTCGACAGATCGAACCGCTGGGCACCACACGCACGGAGCCGCCAAGCGCCACTGCACAGCTCCGCGCGGCACTGGGGCACGGAGGCAATCTCCGGGGCGCGCGGCACACCGCCCAACAGCTGCAAGGCTCCCGCATTGCACTTCGTCCTCTACTCTGAGAATCTTTCTTGCCTCCCTTCAAAACAAAGGTTCGACCTTCGAAGCGAAGATTTCGGAGACTACTGGGCATGAAGCAACCTCAACCCTGCGGGAAACGGGTCCTGGACCCCTAAGCCTCCCCCAAGACCAAATATCCCAGTGCGACCCTACCTAGGAGTTGGAACCCCTAAGAAAGCAGCATTAGTAGTAACAGTAACGCTAAGCTAAAGCTAAGCTAAAGCTAAGCTGAAGCTAAGCCACAGCTAAGCTAAAGCTAAGCTAAAGCTAAGCTAAATCTAAGCTAAAACTAAGTTAAAGCTAAGCTAAAGCTAAGCTAAAGCTAAGCTAAAGCTAAGCTACAGCTAAGCTAAAGCTAAGCTAAAGCTAGGCTAAAGCTGAGCAACAGCTAAGCTAAAGCTAAGCTACAGCTAAGCTAAATATAAGTTGAAGCTAAGCTGAAGCTAAGCTAAAGCTAAGCTACAGCTAAGCTACAGCTAAGCTCAAGCTAAGCTAAAGCTAAGCTAAAGCTAAGCTAAAGCTAAGCTAAAGCTAAGCTAAACGCTAAGCGAAACGCTAAGCTAAAGCTAAGCTACAGCTAAGCTAAAGCTAAGCTAAAGCTAAGGTAAAGCTAAAGCTAAAGCTAAAGCTCCCAGGGGACTGGGGGGAACCGCTCCCAGGGGACTGGGGGAACCGCCAGGGGCGCTTTGCACTGCCCGGCCCCTTTAAGCTAAGAGAGTAAGAACCCTTCTAAGCAGAGCCTAGGTAGGGAACTTTTCATCCTGAGTAATTTTCAGACGGTCCTGCTGGGGCCGTCAGAAAACGGGCCCCGTGAGGCCCAAACGGGGAGAAAAAAAACAGAGTACTCGTTTGCGTCATGGCGAACGCGGGCGGGAACTTTTGCTTAGCGTGCCGCGGCGGCGGCCCCGGCGACAAGCTGCGCACTGCGAGCTGATAGCGTGTCGCTCCACTCCGCGGGGAGGGAGGTTGGGAAAGGCTCAAAACAATTATCCCAGTGCGACCCTACCTAGGAGTTGGAACCCCTAGGAAAGCAGCATTAGTAGTAGCAGTAACGCTAAGCTAAAGCTAAGCTAAAGCTAAGCTAAAGCTAAGCTAAAGCTAAGCTAAAGCTAAGCCACAGCTAAGCTAAAGTTAAGCTAAAGTTAAGCTAAAGCTAAGCTAGAGCTAAGCCAAAGCTAAGCTAAAGCTAAGCTAAAGCTAAGCTAAAGCTAAGCTGAAGCTAAGCTAAAGCTAAGCTAAAGCTAAGCTAAAGCTAAGCTAAAACTAAGTTAAAGCTAAGCTAAAGCTAAGCTAAAGCTAAGCTAAAGCTAAGCTAAAGCTACGCTAAAGCTAAGCTAAAGCTAAGCTAAAGGCTAAGCAAAAAGCTAAGCGAAACGCTAAGCTAATGCTAAGCTAAAGCTAAGCTAAAGCTAAGCTAAAGGCTAAGCGAAAAGCTAAGCGAAACGCTAAGCGAAACGCTAAGCTAAAGCTGAGCAACAGCTAAGCTAAAGCTAAGCTAAAGCTAAGCTAAAGCTAAGCTACAGCTAAGCTCAAGCTAAGCTAAAGCTAAGCTAAAGCTAAAGCTAAAGCTAAGCTAAAGCAAAGCTAAACGCTAAGCGCAAAGCTAAGCTAAAGCTAAGCTAAAGCTAAGCTACAGCTAAGCTAAAGCTAAGCTGAAGCTAAGCTAAAGCTAAAGCTAAAGCTAAAGCTAAAGCTAAAGCTCCCAGGGGACGGGGGGGAACCGCTCCCAGGGGACTGGGGGAACCGCCCGGGGCGCTTTGCACTGCCCGGCCCCTTTAAGCTAAGAGAGTAAGAACCCTTCTAGGCAGAGCCTAGGTAGGGAATAATGCTTGGGGATTGGGAAGCGGTCAGCGTGTCGAGCCGAAGTTTGGAGGGCCAGGACCGGCAACGCGACGCGCTGAGCAAACGTTCCTGGCCGCACTCCGGGAGGAGCAGGAGGGGCGCGCCGGACCGGGCACGCCAGAGGCGGCCGCGTTCAGCTCCTCGATCGTGGAGTCCGGCACGATCCGCTCGTCGATGCTGTAGGAGCGCCAGAGCGCGGTCTCTGGGTTGGTCGGCGCGCTGGAGGGCGTCGAGGCAGAAAGAGGAGGATGAGGATGAGGATGAGGATGAGGATGAGGATGAGGATGAGGATGCTGCTGATGAAGATGACGACGACGATGATGATGACGATGACGAACATGATGATGCTGACGATGATGATGACGAGGAGGAGGAGGAGGAAGAGAAGGATGATAAGGATGAGGATGAGGATGAAGATAGGATGAGTAGGAGCCTGGCAATGAGGATGATATTCTGGATGACGATGCTGATGAGGATGATGATTAGGATGACGACGATGATGAAGTGGAAGATTATGATGATGATGAAGATGAGGGTGATGATGATGATGATACGGCGACGATGATGAAGATGATGATAAGGATGATGCTGGTGATGATGATGCTCATGAAGAGTTTAATGAAGATAAAGACGAGGATGACGGTGAGGATGATGGCGAGGAAGAGGATAAATATGATGATGAGGATGATGATGCGGATGATGATGAGGGAAATGATGATGATAATGACGATGATGGTGATGATGATGATCAGGGTGCGGAGGATGATGATGAGGATGAGGTTGACGATGAGGACGAGGACGATGATGAGGTTGATGATGATGATGAGGATGGGGATGGGGATGCGAATGCTGATGATGAGGATGATGATGATGATGAGGAGGAGGAGGATGAGGATGAGGACAATGAAAAGGTTGATGATGACGAGGATGAGGATAACGATGCTGATAATGAGGATGATGATGATGAGGAGGATGAGGATGAGGATGCTGATGATGAGGGTGATGAGGAGGATGGTGATGAGGAGGATGATGAAAATGAGCATGAGGATGAGGACGAGGCTGAAGCTGAGGATGGGGATCAGGATGGGGATGGGGATGAGGAGGATGAGGATGATGCTGATGATGCTGCTGACGATGATGATGGTGATGCTGATGGTGATGATGAGGAAGAAGGTGATGATGCGGATGAAGATGATAATGAGGATAACGATGCTGCTGATGATGATGGTGCTGTAAATGATGATGCTGATGGTACTGATGATGATGACGAGGATAATGTTGAGGATGAGGATGATGCTGGTGATGATCACGAATCCCTGGGGGAGATCCGTCCAAGTTACAGCTCGAGGCGCGCGCGGCGCACAGCACAGACGGCAGTGTGCAACACGGCTGGCGGACGCCCGCCGCTCAGAAAATGATCCTTCATAGCGTGAAGGATCTTGTGGGCAGCTGCCGCCCGGAGGAGGCCGATAGGCGCATCTAGTCCCAGCCGGTCGCGTGCCGAAGACGGGCTCGAACCAGGCCAGTTTTCGAAGAGGCCCCCCAAACCTGTCGCTCTCGAAGTAATGTTTCTGGCCTGCGTCGGGGAAGCCACAAACATAACAGGCGTGCTGGACAGGCTCGTGCATGCGGCGAATCGTAAACCATCCATGCGTCCAGGTCCGTAGCACAAGCGTGCGAAGAGGACGACGAAGAGAACGAAGACGTGCGACAGCGGCAACAGCGTCGTCCAGGGACAAGGTGTCGTCAGTTTTAAAACTCCGCCATCGCTGCAATATCAGCGAGGGCCAGTCTGGTTCCCACCACTCCTTCAGGACAGCGGTCTGCACCGCGCGCTGCAAACGCTGGCGCGGCAGGCGGCCTCGAAGCCAAGCACGCAGAACTCTGGCAAGATGACCGCGACGGTGCCACGATGGATACGTAGCCGCCGCACGCTCGAGGTTCAATGCGATCAACGGGGATTTCCACCAGGCCT